AAATAGTTGGTATTATGGAGGCACAGAATCTCCTTGAGTTTAAAGCAACAATTTTGAGATTAAATAACCGCACACAAGAGTCACAGCCATAACATTTTTATGTTTGATAATGTTAGGTTAAAACAGGTAAAGTGAGAAAGTCTGTCTAAATGATCTTTCTGGATTAAACTCAAGTCTTTGTGTTCTCAGATAGCAGAACAGACATCTGGTGAGACAACTGAGGGTTTTATTGTTACTCAAACCATGGGGAATGTTCTTATTACTCTGTGCTAAAACTTAGTTTCTGGCATGGAAACCCAGTCAAGCATTGACATAGTGTTTAAGTCAAGAGTTACGAATTAATCACCAGTGACTGATGTTCAAACACAGTTCTCAAAAAAGCTGTCAAATAACTGACTTTAACTAGTCTATTATAAATCAGTGAAGGCCAAACTTCGACAATCACAGCTCAAGCCTACAGGGTATAAGCCCCTGGGACTAAGGTAGTCTTGGTCAAGATGTTGTTGTGTTGTTGATACAAGAGATGACACTCACAAGACGAATAGCTGGAATGCACGAACCACAACTAGCCACACCAGCAACAACTCTTGGGAAGTCAAATCTCCCCCTAAAATTGGGGGGAAACTCACAGCACATGCGCTATTTATGAAAGCAGGTGCTTCCCATTTTCGGTTCATGCAGGTGCATACATGTTGTACAGCCACGAAAAAGTTGCACAATAGTCTGGTGCAATCCTGCATGGCATTGGTCGAAAGCTGTGTTATGGCACTGGTCGAAAGTTGTGTTCGACTGTGAGTGTGTGGTACCACCATCGCTCTGTTTCACACTTAAGAAATCCAAGATAATTGGTGCTACATGTACTTGAAAAATGAAACTCTTTCCAAATCCTGTTGGCAAGTTTACAAAAAGGTCGTGGCCTTAAACAAACTGTTGAAGAGCATGACTTTGTTAGCTTTTCACACTGGGAAGACCTAATTTTTTTGCAGCAAATTGCAAAGCATCATCAAAGTGTTTGGCCATTTTTTTCATGGCATGCAACCATGTACTGTAAATACATGTATGTACATGTGCAATGTACATGTACACATACTACCGGTACATGTACATTACGTACATGTAAATGTACATGTACACTCACATACTGGTACAAGCAGGAGTCAGGGGAATAGACAGATCACGCATCATGCATTTTTCAAGTATGATGCATATTCAGTGATACAATTCAGTGCGTATCATGTATTATGCTAATTACATGAATGTGAGCGCACATTGACCAACTTCCCAAGGTGTTGCTGGCATTGCTACATGTAGTTGTGGTTTGTGCAATCCAGATCCAGCTACTCATCTTGTGGGCGCCCTCTTGCATATCAACAACGCATCTTGACCAAGATTAGGATTGAGGCTGAAGTTGGCCGAGAACAGGAGGTTTGAGCAACAACAAACTACAAGGATGCCCGTAAAGACTGGCAAATATTATACCACTGGGTGGTATTTAAAGCAATGCAAGCGGGCCAGGGACACACAGTGTGATTTGAAGAACTGTTAGTATGCTCAATGACTAAAAGCCCTGTACTTGTCAACACAATGAGCAGTGACTAAACCAGTAAATTTCCTTGTCACCCTGCTGAATGATCCTGATCCCCCCCCCCTGGGTAAAGGTGACATAAGATTGTTGACTCTTCAATTCCCAGACCAGCAAAAGTTTGGTCAAGATCCTGCTCCTTAAAATAGAAAAGGAAAAGAAATACTTCCACAAGTGTCGTGTTCTAGGGGTAGCTTTCCCACTTCAATGTTACTGTGAAAAGCCGGATGCATTGGTTTGTTTTACATACATGTATAACATAATATAATCGTTCAATACTGTATGAATGGATGTACAAGGCAAATACAAGTTGGCAAAGCCCTGATGTGTCTTATACTATGTTGTCCACTATAATAAAGCTGTGACGAATATCTGAATAATTGAATTATCAAATATTTGAATATTAATTTTTGAATTTGAATATTCGAATGCAAAATTCATGAAAAGGGAGGGAGAATTTTCTTTTGTTTCAAATGAGAAAAATTACACTATGAAGGCTTGTTCCAAGCAGATTCAAATGAAAAGCGACAGAAACCTTACAACAATTCAAAACGTACATTACTGATTAAAAAAGTTAAAAGGAATATACACTGTCAAAAGGAAAAGAAGTATTATAAATTTTATCTCTTAAATCTTGCTAAATCATGGCTGGAGATACCTGTAGACGTGACAACTGCAACTGATTTTGTATATGGTTTGTTCCTCAATAATCTGCCAGTCGGTACGATCCAATATTCGGATATTCAATTGAATTGAAGGTCAAATATTCGAATAGTAAATTATTTGAATTGAATCAGCCCTACACTAAAAAAGCAATGTGCTAATGTAAACACAATTCAATGTGAAAGCAAGGTCTGACAACAGTGTACCATCAAAACTGCATGTTACATGTGTTTGTTACCACTTAACAAAGATTCCCCAGATAGAGATGACATTACAGACTGGTCCTTCTGTTTGTTAGCAAACTATATTTGGAGCTGTTTCTTTTTCAAAGAACCCTGCAACATATATGCTCAGTCAAGCCTGTGGGGCAAACACAACATGATGCTTTCAAACTTAAGAGGAATGGTTGAAAGAAATGTTTCATTCCTGAACAAGGTTCACAAAGCAGGTAGCATAGAATCAGCCTACAACTTACATGTAGACGGAAAGTTTAAGTCAAGAACATGATCATGCAGACCTCACGGTAACATACGCTGATGCTCTGTGGAATGAAAGACCCTACGTTTAACTTGCACTGCACTGTTTTCTCATCTTTAACCACTTGCTGCCAGAGAACCCTGTTTCAAGCACAATGGGTTTATATGCTTCGTGCACCATGGGTTTATACGCAGAGTCGGGGTGCCTGAAATGGGACAAAAGAACTGGTCTGTGTAACGTAAGACCGTACTTGGAACAAACGACCTGCTGCTGGGAATTGTCATCATTTTACAGCTTGCATTTTTCGCAGGTAATCCGTCACTGTTTTTAAACAGTATACCACTGTTTTGGGCATGGCGCGCCCGCGGATTAGCACCGTGGACAAAAGTGATCCAAGGCCCCATTACTGAGCAACACAGCACCAGTGCATGCTAATCCAGCCACATTTGAAAAGATGCCACTCACATTCACTGGGGACAAAGGAAATTACGCAACACCTCACAATTCTGGGCTCTCTTTACAGGGCGGCAGGCCTGGCTGAAATACTCAGGAGTCAATGAAGGTTGCCTGTCAGCTTAGAGTAGCCATAGTCATTTGGGTAGGTGTAAACGACCATTAAATGAAAAGATGAATTTTTGATGAATTTTGAAAAATTAAAATCTTGAAAATCTCCCGTATGTGTGCACAGCATTTTTAAAAGCACCTGGCAGCAAGTGGTTAAAGTTACAAAGCAGTTTCAAACTGTGAAATCGTACATGTGGATGTACGTGATGCAATTTAATCAATCTACGGTATGGTGTTACTTCAGCTGAGCAAAACTGGAAAGTCTCAACTTGGCAACCCGGGATAGCCATTAGTCAACTCTACATCCAGAGAAGCAGGTCCCAACTCAAGATTCAGGAATTTGTTCACCTGTGACAATGCACTAATTTTAAGCGACTGTTTCATTGAGCAGGATTTGATCACCAAAGGACACTTCTTTCCCAGTCTTGATACTGGACAGCAACATAGCCTAAGATTTTTGTCGGCATCTACATGTAGTTATTGCATACAGAACAAAAGCAGGAGTTCCAGGACAGCTGGAGTTCAAAGTTTGGAGGGAGGGGGTTATACGTACAAGAAGCGAAGGGTACAATTGCAGAGTTTACACAGTCACGTTGTACCAGTCAGCAATTCCCTCTGGAGCACATAATAAAACTAAATATTTTATCGCCAGCAGCTACAAAATGATTTTGAAGAACTGGAGCTTGATAAGGATCAGGATAGTTTTAAGGACGAAGCAAACACTGTAAATTTCTGCAATTTTTGGAATATCAGCTGATCATCACTAACGGGGTTGATGAAAGCTGATGAACAATGACAAAATGGACTGATGCACATTGGTACCAGTAAGAGATGAGATCTGTGTACTCACCCTGGTGGTACTAAGATATGCAATTGCATGCAAAGTGTTTGACCTACCGGTACCTGAGCAAGAACTCTTATCAAGCATGCTGTAAAGTGAGCAAGTTTGAGAAAAAAAATCAAGAGGCAACTCCAAATACTACAGCCTTCAGCGAGTGCTTCAACTTTGAGCCAATGAACTTTGGAGACACGGTACCTTCAAATGGGACTTGTACCATGTCACTTCTTCACTTCAATATTTCCTCAAAATACATGTACCATTAAAATTTCACAGTTTAAGACAAAATTCACATCCTCTTGTCTTCCTTGTACACCATTCATCATTTGTTGCACTTTTATATTTTGCAATCTCACAGTGCACTTTGAACCCGAGATTCACGTTTTTGGTTTTCCAGTTCAGGAAGCAACGTAGAAAGAAGAGCTTTCTTCAGAACTCACTTTTGACGGGCATCAAGTCCAATGTAAAGCAATCTTACGTAGTGGCTGGGTTATAATTGGAGGAACCACCAGTACTGCCGTGGTACCACACTAAGGTGAATTACAAACTTAGGCAAGCATTCATATTGGCAAGTTTAAGACACCCTGATCCAGGCATACACCATACTGTGAGCTCACCATCTGCATGACAGCATGGCATTACCCCCATAACTGCAGGGTTTGATGTCCGACATGCTTCCACGAAAGCGAGGTGGACGTCAAACCCCACAGTTCTGGGGATGAACATGACATCACTATTTGTAATTTTAGAAGCAGCATCAGTGCTCCACTATCCCGAATTCTTGGCAAAACCTTTACAAATCTTCCCCATTGGCTTTTGAAGGACCTGTGTGTTTTAGAATTAGCAATTCAATCAAGATAGCTACACTTGTGTTACCTTATTGACCACATCCATGAGATCATAGTCTCCGAAGACAACACGGCCGCTGCCTGTTGGTTTGAAGCTGATGTTGTGATTGCTTCCTGTCTGAAAGATAAGATGCCCATCATTGGTCACCATTCGGGGCCTAAAAAGAAGAAAAAAGGTGCATGAAAAATTCAATGAAATCTGTAGATCAACTAAAAAAGAAAAAGCATCATTTTTAATGCCTTTCCAAAGAACCAGTACACATGCATCAGGAGCAGTCACAAATCAGGCAGGTTAAAAATCCTGATGTGCATTCTCCTTAAACTAAGGTTCATGTACAGGTTATTATTACGCACTTATTTGTATGATGGGCTGCAAATAATGTAGATTTACCGGTAGCTAATAAATTACTGTTGTATGAGCCCAAATGGCACAATCTATGAACTTTGCAGTACAGAGCCGTTTTCAAAATCTTCAAAGGGCAGCAAATGCCAAGCGACTGAATACTTATGGTGGCTTGGGTCCTTCTATAAATTAGGGGTATTAAGTTTTTTGTGTCCCTGTCATATCTGACATACATGTATGATTTTGTAAGTTCAGACCACATTCTCTAGTTTCTGAGTGTGGTGAATCAACGCAAATTACCTGCCAAACAAACAGAAATAATTTGAAATCGATTTCAGTTATATTTCCATGTCAAATTACATAGGTAGGGTGTAACAGGGCCACAAATATGTCACACATTTGGACCCAAAAGTTATATCACCAACATGTACTGGTACATGTACTAGTACTACTAACTACATAGTACCAATATTTCCTGCACACTCCTTTCAAGGTTTTGAGCAGGTCAGGGATGGTGAGGGACCATCAATTTTCTTTTCATTATTGTCACAAGCTACCAAACCGTATTCTGAAGAAAGGGATTAGGAAGCTATATCCAGTTTTCAGAAATATTGAAAGTGACTACATCCAGCATAGAAACTGTTTTCCCTGTTAAGTTTGTACTTCTTATGGGGCCCAGTAAACAAACGCTCTTTGTAGCCTCCCAAGACTGATAAAAATCATTTTTTAAGTTGACATAAACAAAGTGATTCAAAACCAACACAAAAAAAACTTCAATGTTAACAAATTGCACATACTTTTTTCCACTCTCATGCAAAAAATTTCAAAAATTTCACCAAAACTACTGCACAGGTGTACATGTACCGGTAAGTTCAAGTAAATCTATCAAATGGCCAGGTTTCTGATAATGAAGATAATGTAGGAGAGAGTTTGTTCCTTTGAAAGTAAACCAGATTTCTTCAAGGAAACTGGATGCATAAAGGACAAGATGAAGAAGTAGGCAGGCACCTTCCAAGAAGTGAAGTGACTCATCTGGCAATCTTTTGCCTAAGACAAAATGTTCTAGAGAGGAAATACTTGATAAAACCACACAAAATAAGTTAATTCCATGCGGATCCTTTGGAATGTGATAACTTCCTCATTGTTTCCTGTACAGGAGAGACTCACAATTATCAACAGAAAGATTCTGAGTAGTGTGAAACATACATGTAGGTCCTCAAGGCAAGATTTGTTATCAGGTAAAGCTTGAAGGGCCCATGCTATAGAGTAAAGATTATTGGCCAATCAAGCATGACTTTTCTTTACACTGCCAGGGGGGAGAGATCCTGTTCATGGTGGAAACCAGTGATCTGGAAAATGTAACTGCCCATTCTAATTCAATTCACAGTGGCACTGTTTGTGTTTGGGCAATAAACATTAAAGACAAACTCCAATGATGCTAATTTTTCTCATATTGATTCCTATTCAGAAGAGCCAAGTCTAATAAAAGTGGCACATACATGTATCATTATCTCCCTTGCAATACACATTTTTGAGTTAATAAAACACAATTTTTGTACTAATTTTTCCTGCGGGTCCAGTCTGGTATTGTAAAAATGGATGTGTCATCACGACTCATTAGCATCTAATGAATATTGATTTCTGTGATATATTACCGTGGAGAGGAAATACCACAGTGTGTGCGCTATAGGAACGCAAAGCATGCGTAGTCGCGGACGACAGCCCGAACTTGAAGAATTTTAATCTCAGTTCTTTTGCAGAATTTCTAGTACATGTACATCTACCAATGACGCACAATTTCAGAATTATTTTAAATCATAAAGAAAGGAGCACAAACTCTCAACGAAAAAGAGAGAATGCAGCACAGTAGACCCAGTGTAGTGGTCTCAGCTGTCTCCCGGTCTCAGCAGTCCCCCCCCCCCCGACGTACATGTAGCACAATAATAGTTTATTTTCGAAATGTTTAAAACCGTTGGAGTTTGTCTTTAACAGTTATCCCGTATTCAAACTGGTCAACACTACAAGACCTGTGACCCTAGAAATCACACAGAAAACATATATGTACATGGATGTACGCATGTTGAAATCAGTTTCCACACACAGATGAAACCTTGACCAAGACAAGTAAAAAGTCTTTCCCTCCAGCTGCTTACATGTATTTCTTTCTGTTAGTAGTCCTCATACATTCATGTATGGTGTACATATATGTACAAGTACATGAAGGGTAAAATTACTTGGAAAAAGGACAGGAAGTTCATTGTGGTGGCTCTTGACTTCAGATGTCATTTGGGGGAGGGTGTCACCTTTACTATCCTACTCTGTACATGTAGGTGGAAATCACAACCTAATCCCACCTGCAGTCCTAGCCCCTGCAATGTGTAGCAGATTACCACCCACTTTAAGGCCAACTAATACACGAAGTGGGAATGCTGCCCACTATTAAATTCTGATAGTCAAGCCTACCAGTCCAGGCAACTCAGCTGACAGCCTACCACAGCTTAGTAACACACATCAAATAACATTTGGCTAGTCGCCAGATTTGGGCAAGTGTAAACAGGAACTGTTTGACAAAACATTTTCCAAGCCAAATCAAATGCTGCAGTCGGTTGCTAAGGCTTTCCCTGGTACCCAATACCACCAAACCCAGACTGCCCCTAAATGCTCACCTTTCTAGTACACTCTGCAATCTTATTTTCAGAATACTACATGTGAAACCCAAACAAAGTTGCCCCTAGACATTTTCCACATCAACTACCAGTACATTTACACCAGAAACCCTCCTGAGAAACAGCAAAGGTGTTCCCAACCCATACCTTATGTACATGTACATACAAATTTTGTGATACATGCCATGACCACAATGCCATATCAACAGCACCTATGCAGTTGTGCTTGGTACATACATGTACATGCAGTATGTACATGTACATATACTAACAGACTACATGTACTGGTAAATATCACCTGTCATTCTTCAAGATGAATAAGGTCAGAATAAAACTTGAGCACCTGAATTAAAAATAACTTGCGTAGAACTTTTGAAGAGTTTGAAATCATTTCAGACAACAGTTGACCATGTGCAGAAGATAGGAGGGGGAGACCCAGACTATCACATGTTGGTGCGACTGTCGTTCATATCATTTAAGCACACTTCAGAATTAAAAGTTGATAGGGTGAAGGGATGTGAACCCCTACCAACCCACTTTCTTTCCCCTCCCCTCCCCCAGTGGAAATAGCGAAACAGCAGGCCAATATCTTCAGTGGGGTGTGGAAAATAGAAAAAAATGCTGTTTAATTGTTGAAGCCACCAAAGATGCCCACAAACGCAAACAAAATACTATGTTTTCATTGACACATGTCTACATGTACATAGACTAACACTAGGAACTGGTGGAAGTAAAGTAACATGTAGCTAAGATCTACATGTACATGTGTACATGAACCTTCCCCAACATGTTAACAGTGTGTACACCAAGCACATGTACATGTACGCGTGCAAACACTAGTATATGTTTCCTTTCTTTTAGTACGAGTCCCTAAAATTCAAGAAAACCAAGGTAGGGCGAAGGTTATTTGGAACAGGCTACCACATAGTATGTATATGTATTAGCACTTGAGCCTTGGGTGCATTAAATATCCTTCCTCAAATTCTAGAGAAAAACCGGAAGGTTTTCAGGCATATTGCTGGTTCTGTGGTTATAGTATAAATTTAAAGTCTTAAGACACCTTGAAGATCAATCATGGCAGTTCAACAAGCTTCCATTATTGCCCTCAAGGACTGGGGGGCGTACATCTTTAATACATGTAGCAAGTATCACATTTTACGGGAGCTAGTATGACCTTTTAGATCCTGGACCAAACCTCATGGGAAATACAGAACTGCTCTCCTATTGGTCTTCACAGTTCAGTGTTTTGTTAAGTGTTCAACGTAGTGAGGGCTAGGGACTGGTTACAGTTACAGTGTACATGTAGCTATATAACACATCATCCAGACATGTGGTCAGACTCAGAGGTGCCATGAAAACTCGGAAATTACAAGAGTGCATTGAAATCCTGGGTGGATTCAAGCCCAGAAATGCAGGCTGAAATCCTAGATGGATTCAAGCCCAAAAATGTGGGTGGAAAATTCACCATCTTGTGCTGGATGCAAAGTGCGTGTACTTGAATGTACATGTACTGTGCACATACCTCTTCTGAGTACCCCCAAAATCCTGAGAGCTCATTTGTTATTTTGGCAAACCCTAAAAAATTTTTATTCACCAGTCAGCTGTATGGAATTCACCCAACTCAGGTTAACTTTTCATTTGGGGAGTCTGAGAGTAGAAATAAAAGGAATGAAATAAAACTTCTATTACAAATTGAATGCCAGTATACGCTGATGAATAAATCAAAGGTGTGATTATTTAGGCCTATACGTTTTCATGCTTTAAACTGAGACTTGAAATCAAACAAAGTCTGGCACCATGCACCCCATTCAACAGGCTGCACCTGTAAACTGAATGTATGCCGATGGATGCAACTAGGGTGCACGATTGAAAATAGCTTCACTATAAATGAGGTCTATCTTGGCAAATATCTTGGTGGGCCCTCCATACAATTGTCTCTGAGCCTGAGTTTCCTCATCAAGCCCGAAAGCTACGGTACCAATTATGTGAACCTAACTCTACAACGCTATGCAGCACGTGTGGAAAAAAATACAAAATCCTGTACGTTAATGTGAAAGAAAAAGTATGCTCTGAGGGCCCACTGTGCCTTGCTCCATGACTTTTGCATTTTCACAACTCTGAATCCAGAGCAATCTTAACCATGCCTATT